CGATCTCTCTGAAACTGTTTTGGTGTTAAGGTAGTTGGGGAAAAAAATCCCCAATATAATACCGAAAAATACTATAGCAAGTATGTAGTTGTAATGATATACATATATCAACACAATAACAATCAACTTTAATGTTTTCGTTTTTTCTCTTAAAGTTGTAATTGACTTGCTCGCAGGCGACTGTAACAATTTTTGTTCTAATTGTATCTAGCTAGCGACATGTGTTGGCGTTATAAAATTACATAATATTTTAATGTTACGATCCACGAAAATGGCTAAAACCGAACTCGTATGACCTAAGTACGTCGTCGAGAAGTAAAAAAAAATAAAATAATATACCGGTCGAATGTAATTTACTCGTGACCCGTTTTTTACCTGTAGTGGTTCAATTTTAAAAGAAAAAAAAACTATTATTCACTGCTTACGCCTGGACAGCGAATTGAACGAAGTCGCCACTAATTTAATACTCTCAAATTGGATTTTCTACTCTAAAACTTGATTTACGTTTTGTTTTTATGCCTTATATTGCTTTTGCGGTATAAGTTTTAACAAATTATCTGAAATTTAAATGTTTCATGTTGTTCAAAGTAATTTGAGAATTCATTTTGTACGTAGGTACATTTATAACCATTTGGCATTAATGGCATAAACGACGATCATTTAATGCTTACTGTTGGACTTAGGTAAAAAGGTAAATCACAATTAAATATGTATAATGTAAAATTGATTCACTTAAGTTTTATGTGAAACCTAAAGTACACGAATAATTGTTGTGCTGGTATAGTCATCAGCGTATTGTGGACAATCCCAGTTGTATATTTATTTATGTCAATTTCTAATCAATTATAACACTTTCATACATATAAGTAACTAGTCATAAAAAATCTATATACTTTCTTTAGAGCTATCATAAGAATAGACGAAATCGAAGAGAAGCATGCATAAAAAATATAGGGGTGCGCTATATCATACATCATATGTTTAATGTATACGTTCAAGAAGCCATACACATAATAAAAAAAAAACTCATTTTAGGGTAATGATAAATGAACGAAAATTTGATATGCTACAGTTTGCTGATCATATGACAATAGTAGCTGAAAAAGAAGAAGACTTACAAAACATGTAAGGAAATAGGAACAATGGAAGAAACGATGATTAACGAACTAATTATGAAAAAAAACACAAAAAAGATTCAAGTTCTTGTAGAAATATTAACCACGTAGTAGGAGTAATTATACTAGGACAGTATCTTTTGCTTCTAGACTAATAGCTATTTCCGTTCCCCTTAACTCTTAAGTTGACAAATGTTTTTACTTACGCTTGAAGCTAATAACATGAACAGTTTAATTGACTATGAAATCAATCGTAAAGTAGGTTGCCGAAAAAATTTAATAATTTTTCAGGCAAATAATAGATTGGGATAAAATTAATATTATAATAAATACATTTTATCCAATCTAATTTTCATTTGTCTTCACGGTAAACTGACAGTACTAAGTATTTATTACTTCCAGATTTTTATTTAATTTCACTTAATTTTTTTATATTTAATTAATTTTTAACTAGATCACTGTGGTGTTATGATTTCTTTTCTAATCTACTCCTAGAACCATAAATGTATTACTAGAATATATATATATATATATATATATATATAAGTTTAAGAGCTTTTCGATTTTTTATGGTTTCTACCAAGAAATCTAGTTATTATAGTTACAGACAGAGATGGGCAAAATTATTAATCCCGGATTACTGGATTATTTTTCAATTAATCCGTTGTTCCAATACATCGAAATTTAGGATTACAAATAATCCAATACGGATTACAATTATTCCATCATGGATTACAAGTAATCCAGTAATCCCAGATTACTTGGATTAAAAATAATCCGTTATTCCAATACATTAAAATTATGGATTACAAATAATCCAATACGGATTACAATTATTCCATCATGGATTACAAGTAATCCAGTAATCCCGGATTACTGGATTATTATTTAATTAATCCGTTATTCAAATTGCAGATTTATGGATTACAAATAATAATTAATTAGTATACTCTGCCCTAGTAGGTACTTTAACAAAGCTCAAGTTTATCTAGCTTAAACACATTTTATATAACAACACTTTTTTGTCAATTTGTTAAATGTTTTAAATAAACGATTTTGTTATTATTGTTTAATTTTATAATCTGAAAAATATGATATCATACCATAATCAAGTTAACATTTTACATTTAAAATTTTGAAATCTTTAGACTTCTGTATGCAGAAGAAAACGGCTCAGCGGTTTAGTTTTACTCCTAGTAAAAATAAAACACATTATTGTAAAAACAATACCTCCCAGCTCCGCATAAAAGAAAAAAATGATTTAAATACATTTTAACTTTAAAAAAATATTATTTAAGTACAATGTTTAGGATTACTGGAATGAAAAAAAAACAGTAATCTTTAAGTTTGGGTTATTGGAATAAAACAAAAATCCTAAATTAATAATGTAATCCGTAATCCGTATACTAGGGATTACTGGATTAATAAAGAAATCCGTAATCCGAAACTCGGGGTTACTGAAATAAAATAATCCAAACTTTTTTAATTCTGGATTAATAATGTAATCCGTAATCCGTATACTAGGGATTATTTGATTAATAATGTAATCCGTAATCCGTTAACTAAGGATTACTGGATTAAATTTAATCCTTAATCCAAAAATGTAGGATTACTGAAATAAATGTAATCCAGTTTTTTTATTAATCGTGGATTACGAGTAATCCGTAATCCGTCTGTAATCGATTACGGACTGTAATCCATTTTGCTCATCTCTGGTTACGGACATAAGACATTCAATTGTCTAATGCGGGCTGACAAAGAAAACTACTCAGGCGAATAGGGACCTATTAATGCTTATCATGGTTATATATACGAGTATATAAACTTTAAAAACGAGACTTGTTATTTTGTAATATGGATTTAAAACACCGCAATGTCGTAAAGACGTTTTAAATAAATTGGTAATTTTACAGTTACGCGGCAGTCATATACCCACTTCTATAATGTACTATTACATTATTTATTATAACGTACATTATATTATGTGCTTTAAAAAAGAATCGTTTTTCTTTTGCTTGTATCATTTTTTTTTTACTTTTACAGAGGTAAAACCAAAATGAAATGTATGGTATGCGTTATGAGTTTATGACTTATGAGCTACATATTTATAAATATGTATGTATGTATATAAATAGAGTCTTGCGTGAACTGCTAATAAATATAAATAAGATTCGACATAAAATCATCACTCATGAGTCATGGATAAGGCGTACATTTTTCTCGACCCATGATAGGTTATACCGTCACTCTAGTCTAAGTACGAGCACGTATAATCCATCTTTAATAGCCACTATTATAATGTTCAATGATAAATATTTGGTCGTTTTCAATCGATTTCTCCATCGCATCGGTGGTCATTTATTTATTAGCGGCGTCTGATATGCATCTCCATTTTAAATTCAACACCCCTTGCCCTATTAAGTACCCTGTACCTATAATGTTAATGGTTTGTCATCTTTACTGAACAGGTTGTATGAAGAAATAGTTTCAGTCGTTCAAAGGTAAGTCCTGCACAAAAACAAATTTTTAAATACCTACATTGTAAAACAATACATTTTTCAGCTCAAAATCCAAGTTAAACCTTTCATTGTAAAACGTATTTCGGTTTTTCGTATTAAAAAATAGGTGTCATTGTGATGCAGGTTTTTATTAATTCATTTTTTACATTTAAACCATGAAAAAAGAAACTCAATGGCAATATATTATGTACTTCTTATACTCTATTATTAGAAAATTCTAACCTTGTACAACTTTGTAGACTTCGCTTATTGTTCTGCATTATTTCTTGTTCTCATTGATTAACCACAAACATAATTTTTCTCATTTTTATAGAAATATGCTAAAAAAAAAAATACAAAAATATTTTCCTCGGAATAAAATAGCATTTTTCTAAATTATATTTTTTAATTTTTACGACCACTATTATTGTATATAATTTGTATGGCGTATGTTTGAACTACTACTTTAAACATTTGTAGATTGTAATACGTTAATTTCCAAAGTAAGAAATCAAATTAAAACCCCAACCAAGTTTAAAACAAGTGCCCGGTTCAATCAGTGGTAATTGGTATTTAACTGTCAGTTACAAAATACAAGATCACTAGAAAAAACTGTTTATCCATATTCATAAACACAATAACCTAGAAATCTATCTAGAAATAAGATCACAATCAAAAAATAAAAAAACAATCACATGATTAAAAATTATGCATGTTAAGGTGAATAAATGAACTGTCAGAAATCATTAATCTAGATAATATAACATTAATTGATGAAAAAAAAAATATCTGAAACATTTTAGTAAAAATATTTTCAGGGTCTGAACTCTCAGGATGATTACAAAAAACTTCTATTAAATAATATTTAATAAAAAATAACTACAGAATTTTTTAAACCAAAATGTTACAACCCAAACTAAAAACTGTCGTAACAGTAGTATACTCACCGCATGTTAAAAGCGCGACCAGCAAAGCAACCAACATTTGTAAACTGGCTGCTTATTGGTTTATAAAACATATTGCCACTAAACGATAGGGTACGACTATGGCGAGGTTTTGGGGTGGTACCTGTAAACTAGTTACACTCTTAACGCACAGCGAGTATAGATACAATTATATTATCTTCTCAATAAATGATGACATTTTTATTTCTCTAAGAGTTTTTCAAAACTATGCATGTATTTGATGATAAGGATATTATTTTGAGTTATCTACAAAACTTAATAAAAAGTTATAAATAATAAATTGCACAATATGTATCAATATAAAAATATAATTATCATACAAATAACATTGCTTTTGATTATAATTCACATATACGAAATAATTTATCAAAAACATTCAACAACGTTTTATCGATAACTTTACCATAAAACAGAATAAATATATATATATATGTGTGTAATGTTTTGTTCAATTATAACTTAATATCTTATCATAATTTATATTTTATCTATTTTTAATAGTTTCTACATTTTTAGAAACAATTTTTTTTAAAAAAACAGAACTCAAATTTAACTACAAAGGCACTTAAATAACAACAAAAAAAATACCTAGAACGCCTAATTGTTAAAAATAATATTAGGAGAACCAAATGGAATGTTCTGTGTAAAAAAAAAAAATCAAGTTATAAATTTGTAAAATAATAATCATTTACAAATAATGAAACATCTATACAAAATTTGCAGTCAATTTGTTTGTGTTTTGATTGTATCTGATGAACATCACTATAATTAATGTTCATGTAGAGATTTTTGTCAATTTGGACTTGACAACTTTCGAGTGTCAATAGCGAAATGGTGTCCATGTACCAGAATGCTCATCTCGTCTATAGTACAATGGACGATTATCTCTGAACACGGTGACGGCTGGGAACGGATGATCCTGTACATACTTCAAGGAAGCTCGTATCTAAACGCAAACCACAGTTAAGTGACACATCACCACAACCTAGTATTAGGGTTAAAATAAACACTAAAACTATACTAACTGCCATGACCGTATGGGGGGGTTCCACGTCAGGAGTGGTAGAGAGCGCTTGTAAAATAAATTCATCAGACTGTTGAAGCCACAAGTCGACGCTGCGCATGGGCTCATAGTTGAACGGTCCGATCCTCAAAAGACCCAAACTGCAGTCGTATACATCCAAAACCTAAATAAAAGTTCAATTTTAAAGAACAATGTAAGACACTATAAAAATCACTTACACAATCACTTACAGGTTGGAGGCCCGTGAAAAGTCTAGCAAGTCTTAACGGTTGTTCTGGACCTTTATCCGGAAAATTAGCAGGGAAAACTTCACCGCTTTTAACCATAACGCCTGCACAAAGAAAAAATCAAATAAAATATTCGGTTTACAATGACGTTTTAGCATATTTTTTTAAAATGTATTACCAGCGCCATAAAGCAGAGGCCAGTGTACGTTATTTCGCATTATGGTGTTCAGTTCGCCAACACAAGCGAGCACTAGTTCGATCTCGGCTTGTTGTTTGTGAACAGCAACTGTTGTGTGAGAGAAAGAAAAAAATTTACTTTTGTTTTTGTCATTGATTATTTTTTTTTTGTTTTACCCATCAGACTGTAGAACACTTGTTCACTATACCGCAGCTGGTGCGTGAATCCACCAATGAGGGACATTTCTAACCGACCATCCGGAAAACCAATAGACAGCTCTTGGATCCTGTGCACCATATTGACAACACACTCTTCAGTGCATGAACCATCCAAATGAGCAAAGCCCACGGCACCAGAACCTTATGAGTAGAAAAAAAAATTGTAATAATTATTATTCTTTTATAATAGTTAAGACTATTCTAATGGACTCACCAGTATGTCGGATTACAAGGATGATACAAGTGGTAACATCGTCCGAACCTATTATAGATACATTTTCTGCAAAGCAAAAAAAGAGAGGTTAGTTTAGTTATCAATTCAACACTAGTAAATCTTTTAGTCTAAAATTGAGCTAATACTCACTATCATGGGGTACGGTTACGGCCATTTCTCTCTGACATACGTACAGCAGGCCGATAGGCCCAATGACTTTTGTAGGTATGTTGAGTAACTGCGAGGCAGAATCGCGAAATACCGGATGATTTAGGTAAAGCGTCCTCGTGTCTGGTGGCGGTTCATCCTGGACGACTCCTTGCACAACCAACACCATCCTGTCAACAAGTACAAACCCAATACAACTAATTAACACTAATTGTTAAAACTAATAAGTGAAAAAAATGAATAAGAATAATTTAAAATGAAGTGATAATATTCAAAAGAGTAATGTGGTCTTCAAAAAAATTTTACAGGAGAGCAAAATGAAAATTATATTTTCAGTGTTCTTAACGGATGGATGTTATTTATTAGTTGTCTTCAATATACCATCCAAATTGTATAAAAAATTATAAAACAAAACACTGATAGCCGATAGGAAAAGATCTAATTGGTAAACATTATGAGATCAAAAACTTATTTTTTCATAAAAAATAACACGTACTACATTTTGACTTTTATAATTATAGGTATTACTTTACAGACCTTACAAAATACCAAACAGGTGTCACTGTTATTAGATCCTAATCACAAAACAGTATATCAAGAATCAATACAATCAGAAACTATTCTCCAGCTGGACAATAACATACGTTATCATTAGTTTTTTTTTTATTATTATATATCTGTGAAGTCGCGAATTCTATTTTACAGTACAATTTATTCTTGTCAAGTTATTACATTCGAATTTTAGTAGTACGATGTCCTATTTTTAGAACTATGTATATTTAGTCCCCTGAAATCACAGGGCATAATGCTATATTACAACTCAATTATTACATCTCCCTTCTTAATGTATCACTATTGGTGACCCTACATAATAGATGTCAAATTTCAGGTGCGTTTAATTCGATGATAAGTGATAACATAAATTTCACACATACCCCTCGGGTCCTGAGGTCCTTGACTAAAACATTGGTTAATCAGTAAATGGAAACTCGAAGATGTCACTGAACTTAAGTAATTGACGAAAAAGTTTAACAACTCGTCTATTTAAAATAAAAGTCATAAGTAGGCCTGATGTAGGTCTCTAAACCTATTATAATGACTCATAACGAAAGCAATAAAAAAATGTACATATACAATTGGCATGTGCGTGCTCGTGTACCTATTAATTTTACTGTTGCTCGTAGAAACTATTATCACAGAATAAATTTAATCAGAATGGGAAGCTATCAAAGAATGGGAAGCTAAACAAAAACGGCAGCCATTTTCTGCGTGGTCCAAAATAAATAAATTATATATAATTATATACTAGATATAGATATAATAATAAAAGAACAACCACTGAGGAAATATCGGAAGGTCATCCTATATTTGAGGTTAAATTATCAATGTTTCCAGTCTGATTTCATTTATTATGTGCTATTATCGACAAAACCTATAGCGGCGAAGGGACGTGTAATGTCGGAGCTCATCATAATCAGTGTCTGAGCGGTAAACAAATAAAAATGCGATTTTAAAAATAATAATACTATACAAAATATAAGGCAATTAAAGTAATAATACAGCCGACTAAAAAATTAAGTTCAATGAAATAATATGATAAATAACGATGATAGCGACATTGCAACATAAATTGCAGTGTATAACATCATAACGACTATAAAAATGCTTCTACCGAATTTGGCACCGCCACTCGTTTAAACTTCATTTTTTTTTCTAAATCGAGGACAGCTAATCGCACATTGACGGTCGTCTATGACGTGTAATTGTGATAACCCCAGTCCATCGCTAAAATCATTTTTTAATCATAATATACGTGACACTAGCATACGGTTTTAATTTACTGTAATAAAAATACCTATTTCCCCCGGCCTACAACGTATTAATTTAAATTCTTCTTTTTTTTGATAACATAAAATAACTATATACTTCTTTATAATGTCTTCTGGTATACACATAAATCAATACTACAGTATTAAAAACGATATTCGTTCTAAGAAGAACTGTTGGATAATGGATCGTCAGTAATGCATCCATAACAAATAATAATTATAATAATAAATAAATAAACAAAACCAGACAAGGCCGGATCGATCACCGATAACGAATTCCAAAGACTTTTTTGTTGGCTATGAAATGATCAAATTTTGTACACCGTTTCAACAATGGCTCGAAATCCATAAAAGGTCGGACGGTAAACTAATTCAATAAAAATGAAGTTACCTATTTAATGGGTCAATTCCTATGATGAGATTAAGCCATTGCCCGACTACATTTTTAAACATATCGACAATTATTCTATTTTCTACTTAATGACTGTTCGTTTAGTTAAACCGCCTGAATAATACATCAAAATGTCGGCGCCGCTGTAAGACTTGTTAAATCGATTATTTCTTACAAATAAAAATTATTTAGATTTTTTAATAATGAAGTTTATCTGTTTGTCTTGAGTTTAACCTTATTCTTATCGAACATGATGTAATAATACTTTTTAAAAATGGTTAAGTAACTCGAATAATTGTTTACCTATTTAATATTTTAATGTCAGCTGACGTTGAAATTAAATTGTGCAAGCTTAGATACATAAGTTAAAACCGACCAATAAACAACACCAGTCTACATATATAAGTAATAATGATACCTGTAGGTATTACTTGTACCTATTACAAACGTCTTATGTTTAACTAATACGGTAGTATGAGAAAATGCGTTAATTAAAAAAACAGCGTTATTGTATAACTTAAGTCTTAAGATATAAAATAATACATATGTTAATTGATAAAATTCAAAACGATAAAGGAGGTGGCAGACACACTGGTATTATTTTTTTTTCCGATTGAAAGACAACGCAATGACATTTTACACAGCTCGGCAGTTAAGACTGTAATTTTTTATAACAGACATAATAATTATTCATTGACCGTTATTCCTCATGAATTTATTAACACCTATTTTTGCCATAGATATTTTCCTTGACGAAGAAAACGAATAAAAATATGCAGTTTTTTATGACTGCTGATACGAATAATAAGCTACAATTTAAATATTTTATTCGAAGCAAACGTTTAAAACCATTTGGCAAAATAATTTATCCAATTGCTAGAAAATGTTACTGTCACAATGAGGCATTTGTTACTATGATAAGTTCATGTGGCTATATTCACGTGAAGCTCAACTATTGTAACATAATAATTAAAATAAAATTTAATTTCAAAAATCGTTAAAGTTGTTTTATTGGTATTTCCGGTATGCGTGGAGTAAGGAATTAATGTAGCAGTTTGATTGTGTTTCTTTCATAGCATAACAATAATAATCATTAACTTAAGCATGCGTACAATTAAAACAACAAAATTATTTGTTTTTAATTTAATAAGGACAAACCCATAGGTAATTTATTAACTGTAAGATACGGTTTAAAAAGGGGTACACAAATAAAGTTAAGACTACGCGCTGTATTTATTTCAGATAAGTTTACACCGTGATTTATTTAACGGATTTAGAATAAGTGACCAAGACGAGCAGCGATTGTAATTTTTTTTTAGTTTTATCGGGTTTTAAAGTTTGGTTTAGATGTTTTTTCTAGAACCACTTTTCAACGCGTAAACCATATAAGTTGTGTAGATAAAAATACATAGGTAACTCCTATGTACTCGTATTTGTGTTTAATAGTACCTTTATATCAGTAATTGATCAAAGGGTACGGGTTTTAAAAGTAAGACCGTCAACATTCGAACCTTTTAAAAATACCCTACTCATTATTAATTTAGCCGTAGGAAAGGATGTTGTTTTTAATTTATTCTGAAATATCCTTTGGAAAATGACTGCCTATAAACTAAATTGAAATATATCCGTTGTAATTTCAAAATTCCATAAACAAATTACCGAATTGTAATTGCTTTATCAAACCGTATGGAACTATATAAGTACTTGTTGTTTTGTTTTATTGCTTCATTTTTTTGTTAGTTCATGCATCTATACTTGATTTTTAATGGTTCGCAGTCAATTAACCTATCGTTCAATTGACCATACAATCAATCCACCTAACCAGTTACCTCATTTTATACGTCTAAATTATAAATACTGTTCTCACCATTTTGGCTAAACATTTAGGTTTTGTTTAACAACATTAAAATTATAGACTAAAATATACTTCATTTTTAAGTCGTAAGTACGGCCATAATCGACAATTACACTGCATTTCATATTAAAATAATTAACCCTGCTACCTATGTATGTTTCTTTTAAAACTCGTACTCTTTGATCAATTACTGATATAAAGGTACTATTAAATAAAGTAGTATTTACCTATGTATTTTTATCTACACAACTTATATGGTCTACGCGTTGAAAAGTGGTTCTAAAAAAAACATCTAAACCAAACTTTAAAACCCGATAAAACTAAAAAAAAATTACAATCGCTGCTCGTCTTGGTCACTTATTCCAAATCCGTTAAATAAATCACGGTGTAAACTTATCTGAAATAAACACAGCGCGTAGTCTTAACTTTAAAAGTCACCGCGTGCAGATAACAAAATAAGAATGATTGGTTGGTATTAGGTGACAAAACCCGTTTAGATATAAAATTCGATTTGACAGCGGTCATAGATTTGAAAGCAAGAAAAAACTAAAAAAAAGGTGTTTATATATTCAAAGGAAGGAACGTTAAATATATTGAAGGGTTATGCTTGTACAATGAAATTTTAAAAGTTCAGGAAAAAATAAATTTTAAAAAACTACTCGCTTGCCGTCGTTTTTTAATAATTTTTTAATTTATTATTGTTCTTCGATAGCTGTTTTAAGTTAAACTATGTAAAATTATTATTGAGGGTGACGTTTTTCTTCGTTTTGCGAGTCTCGCACGTTCTCGACGATACTTACAAATACCTTTAAGTACGATCTTCTCCTCCTCCACCCACTTATGGTCACCAAGCACAACCGTAAACAATCAACATATTTTCTCCCTAGCACACGAGCTGGGCACAGAACACCGTCTAGGATTCGCGTGCAACGACACGAGGAGAATGTCTTAAGAGCCGTCTTTGTATACTGCACACAAACCGGTTGTGTGTGGCTTACCATCGCCGACCTCTATCCACCCGCACACACGGATCTTTATTTTATTATTATTAGAAAGTACCGTTGTGTTCTGTGTATATTTTTTTCCCTATAATCT